GCTCGCTGAGGCGTTCCGGCGGTGCCGGTGGCGCTGCGAGGCCTCGCCGTTTCCCGCTCCCTCCCGGGGGACGGGAGCCGCCGGGACAGCGCCCCAGAGCCGCGCCACACGGGGGGGCAGCCTGCGTGCAGGTGACCGTGGGGCTTCAGGGGGTCTCGAAGGCCCTCGTTTGCCCGTTGGAGCTGGCGCCCGGGCTCCTCCCGAGGCGTGCTGGAGGAAGGGCTGATCGGTTTTGAAGCTTCCCTCACGGCGTGACTCGGAGTGCCTTAAACAGTTGCCTGTGGGTGAGGCCTGGTGTCAAGCTTCCGACGCCCGGTGTCCGCTCATCAGAAGGCCCCGGTCATTTGTTACCCTCCTCGCGTTCCCCCTGCAAGTGTTAGGTGTTTTCCAGAGTGTCAGGCAGCATCCCTGTTTTCTGAGATTAGGCACTGTGAAATTGCTCGTTGAATAGATAAGTCTGCCTGTGCAAACTGCCTTGGCAGAGCTCAGGGTGTCCTCTCAGGCTAGGCCTGGCATGATCCAGCTTTTCGTCTCTCTGCTAGGAAAGGAGGTAAACCTTGGTGTCATCTTGGGGGGTTTTGTGGTTTGTTTGCTTGGGGGTTTTTTTTAGCTTTTGAAAATATTTGTAGCGCTGATAAGATGCTACTCCATGGCTATCTATAGCCTGCCTGTAATTACCATTTCCCTTCTGACATGCGCTGGCTGATGTCAGCCAGCTAAAAGTGGCATAAAAGTGGATGGGCTGTAAGGGCACACACCAAGCTAGACATATGCTGAGTATGGAACAGCTTGAGCCTTTTCTAAGAGGTAATCCAGTACCAAGTTTTTTCCCCTCATTGCTAAGATTTGGGGCTATATAAAGACCAGACGAGAATCAGGTAATGTCTGCAAAGTGCAGACGAAAGGCAAGTTGATAATTGAAATGCAAAGCAGACATATGCTTTCTCTCAAACTCTGTATTGCCAGCTTTTACGATTTTATCATGAGTTTCATAATCAGCACTGTTCTTAAAGCTCCTTGGATCAAGTGGTTGTGCAAAAATTTCAGCTTATATTTTCACTTTTATAAAATCAAGCTTGCAAATGTGACGGGAATATTTATTTCAGAGGCAAAAGTAAAAAACAGACAAAAGGTCCCAAATGGATGCATTTTTCAAGAGATGAGGTGGGGCTAGTTCATGATTATGAGTATTTGGGAATGACACAACCAGAGAGGCAAGCAAAGGAGGGAAACAAAGCCAATGAAATGACTGATTCTGTAAGTATGTGCAAAATGGGAAATTTTCACATGGAGAAAATCTGTGCCCAGAGATATAGAGTGTGTTTAAAGCCAGGATGAGGCCAACTGGCCGAATCTTTGCTTCTGCTGTAAAACAAAACATAAAGAAATGTGGACATGGGTAACAAAGATTCTGCCTATAACAGCAGGCACTCCAAATGCAAAAGGACAAGAAAGAAAATTAAATATAGCTGTCTAGTTTGATGGCCCTGCATTAAAAAAAAAAACAACAAAACAATAACAAAATCCAAAACAACTGTCACTGTTCTTTTGTTTCAAAATCAACCATGTCACTTATTATAGTTCTTGAAAGAGAGCCCACATAACTGGTGGATGAATTATTTTCTAATATTTACAGACCAAGAATCATATGACAATGCTGTTCTTCTAGAGTGCCTTACACAATATGAGAAAGGCCTTTCAGACAGTAGGAGCTGCATGGAGTTAACCAGAGCAACTGCTGGGTCCACCATAGAACTTAAGCTGGTCAACATGATTAAAGGAAATTGGAAATGTTCTTAGATGATGTGAGCTGGTGAGTAGCTATGGAGACAAGTAGGTGTAGAGATCCATTCTCTCGTCGCCTGTGCATAGGATACATTCTACAGTCCTTATTCGGGAAAGGACTGGAAGAGTTTGTACAAGTTGCTGAAAGAAGTTGTACAAGTAAAGATTTCACTGTCAGGTGTGCAGTAGGAAAAACCTTTCTTGTTAAGGAAATAGTTAACAACAAAATTTCCCCTCAGACTGTGTTTTCACAGCAAGGGACCCTTCATTATTTTTGTATACCCAATAATGTTTGCATTATCTCACTGAAGTTTATAAATATGCTTTCTTGAGACTCTTGGCATAGAGTGGGACCTCACCTCCAGTGCACCATCCCAGGAACTTGGAAGAGCTTCTCTGATGTTAATCCCTGAAACTGAGGCAAGACAAATTCTCTCAGAAGTTTCCCTGTCTTTTCAGTGAGAAGAAGGAAGTGATAGCTTGACAGATGAAGGGATTTGAGAAACAGGAAGGGATGAGGCAATTCATGATGACTGTCAGGGTTTAGAGATACAGAAGCATGAGAAGAGCAACCACGTAGAGCTGGGGAAGATGATACCAGCAGGAGCTGACGGAATTGATAGGAGCAAGGAGCCAGAACAGAAGAGAATGAGGAAGAAGGAATCTGGAAAGGCAAGACAAAGGTTTACAACCCGTGTAGAACTGAAGTCAGTATTCCCAGAACTGAAGTCAGTATTCTTAAGTTTCTCTGTTGCCCAGCAAATGATTTGAAATCCACTATTTTCTAGTGGCTTATCTGTATAATAAGACAAGATATTACTTCTGCCAGTTTCTTTGGTTCAAGTGGTAAAGGTTTCTTTGTGACTCTTAAAGGTCCAACAGTGCTGATGACCCTTGGGAATGTTATTATGACTCCATGGTGTAATTATCTGTGCTTTCTCAAAAAATCACACACCATTACATGTAAAAATGAAAATAAAACCACTTCTGGTTTAGATAACAGTCTCATTGGTTGTATATTCATTCAATTCTAAAATGTGATCTGTGCTATGAACAAAATCAAAGGGGAGTCTTAAGTAAAATGGACTGTATACTACAAGATGAATGGTATTTCAAAGAGAACTGATTAAGCTTGTATAAACAATGCTTTTTTTGCAATTTCTTATTTTTGAGAGCTTAATTCACAGTCATGATATACATTAGGAATGCATATATCTGCATTCAGTTGCCAAAAATATATCTAAGAGAAAGCAGATGGTTTGCCTGCCTGTTTGTGTGTTTATATAGTACAGAGGAAATACTTCCAAACAAATAAACGAGGTTCACAGTAAATGGAGAAAGTGATGCAGTTTCCGAATTGATTAACTTTAGCAGTCAGACTTTTTGAATTATTGCAGGAAACATCATAAAATGCTGACAACTGATGTCAGCATAACCTTAAAATGAAACTCCGAGTGCCCACTTACTAAAATGTACAAGATACCCCATCTTTCAAGAAACAACAGACAATTGCAGATTTGGGGCTGTACAGTCCTACATTTAAGGAACAAGCAAACGATCTTGCATAAGAATTTGCAAAGCCACGAAGAAAACTTAATCCAGTGCTGCTCTTTCTCCTCAAGATACCACTACCTAAGTGTTTGCTACAGCCACTGTCACCTGAATAGCACCTAATACTTTGAAGTGGGGTGGGGTTTCTTCTTTCTTTTCTTGTGTTCCCATTGTTATCTGCTGGTTTTATTTTCTCACTTCTACCTGTAATATCTATGTCCTTCACAACTATAAAAAATAATTCACAGATTTAGAGCTTATTATGCAAAACTATTATTCCCTGAGCCATCAGCCTGGGTACGCACAGTAAAGGCCATATCTACAGGCCCAGAAATCCAGGTTGAATTCCTAGAAGCACACCACATTCCTCAGAAACCACAAAGCTGACTCAGAGTACTTCAAGTAGTAACTCAGCACAGTGTATCACGCCACCTCAACCCCGATACATAAAATTAAAAGCTTGATGCAAAAGCCATAAGCATCTAAAAAAACCCTTACATTGTCTTCAGCAGGCTTTGAATTAAGACAGAGGGTCTGATGTATTCTTGATAACAACTGCCAACTTTGCTAGATGGAGAAAGAAGCTCTTGGTTTAAGAAAAAACAACCCAAATTCTTATCTCTGCCAAGTGAAATTAATGTTATAACCCATTTCTGACTTTTGTTTCCTTTTTGCTTGCACCATGAAACCAAATCGTGAATTTCACTTTCTATTTATACTCGGTTTCCTTTTCTGATTATCACACTCAGTTAGTTTGGGTTTCTAGAGCCAGGCTGAAGCTGCGTGCAGGCACAGGAGCTGATCCCAATGGAGCAACCTCCAGGATAGGGATGTGAAACTAAAGCACTTAGAAAAAAATGACAGATTAAATTTTTCTTTTTTTTTTTTTTTTAATCATGAATCTGTTCCCACCTTAGTAATGGGAGGATCTCCCTCGAATTTTTAGCTGGAGTGGGTCTTGACCATAGTCAGGCAAATCATCAGAAAGCAGTAGTGGCCCTACTGGTCATATTGTAACCAGCATCAGCATTTTTACCTCTGACAACACTTTTTGTGCTAATTGTGTGTGTGCCTATCATCCCTTTTCTAACAGTTCATGTGGCAGGAATTACAAAATCATAGCATGACACAGCTGTGGGGATGATGAGGCATTGCCCCCTGTCCTGGCATTGATGGGTGTAACATACCTTTTAGCTCTCTCAACAGAATAAAGCTTCATTCATCAAAAAAAATATATGGACCCATAAATCATCAATGTGTTCTGCATCAGGAAATTATACTTAAGACTTCTTATGAAGAATGAATATCTGAAATAATTATTTAAATGCATGACAGCCTGGCAAACAGCTCATGACTTCTTCGGGAAGTACTGCTTACTGAGGGCAACCTCTTTTCCTGCCATTCCAGCAACAGAGGGTTTATTGTCATCGTGTCTAGACAGTTGTTTCCTTGAAGAATGTTTTCAG